CCTTATGCAAATTGGGAAAAAAATAAATCTTATCAGATATGTAGCTTTCTCTAGTGTGACCAAATGGATTTGTTGTCTTTTTGTTGTCTTTTCTGGTAGAAAGGTAATTCAAAACATAAGCAAGGAAATTTTCAAACTCTATCATCTGAAATCACATATTTTTGATGAGAAAAATTGTATAATTGTGCGATAAAAGATCACCTGCAGATTCCTTGTGATTCCTATCAAGTGCAAGCACTACTGGACGCAAAAAGTGCTGAGAATCCCAAATTTTACTGATAAAGTTTAATAATTACTGATACTGTGCTGTTGTTGCTGATAAATACTGATATTTACTGTTATTATTACTGTTGTTGCTGATATTTTTTGTTGTTTCTGATAAATACTGATAATTACTGTTGCCTTTTACTGTTGAGTCTGATAAATACTGTTGAGGTACTGTCGTTGCTGAGAATTGCTGATAATTACTGTTGAGGTACTGTCGATGCTGAGATTTACTGATAATTACTGTGGTCATTGTTTTTAACCTGGTAATTGGTTTAAAATAAAACAGAGGGCTATATATAAAAACCTTCAATTATTACTTTCTTTTACTTGAATTATCATGACAAAATTTTCATATTTCTTTAAATGTTCTGCTTGTGACAAAATTACATGACTGTATGTACATGTATGTATGCTGATCTCAATTTCTACATTACGTTTGTGTAAATATTGACAATAATCAAATGAATAATTAATAGAATGAATATATAGAAATAGAATTAATAAAAAAAAATTAACTGCAGAAAAAAAAATGGAATTTTACTTTTGCATAAGATCTTGATGAAAAATAAACTGTAAATAAAAAGAAAATTATGCTATCTTAAAAAGATCCATCGCCGCCTTTCCCGACTCCAAGAAAATTATGTAGGGAGATCGGTGATCTTTTTTTTTTTTGATAATAAGAAAAAAGTTCTTAATGGATGGAAAGAAAATCGGGATAAAAAAAGTTTCCTGCAGGTTAGAAAAGTTGGATTTGTTCCGTTTTCGCTAGGTCAATTGGTCGAGTTCAGACAACATTTTGTTTTTGAAGGCCTTTTTTCTCGAAAACAATTATATTTATCTTGTTAAATGTTCAGTTTTCTGGTGTCTTTTTGTCGAAATATTTGAAAATTTGCTCGAAAATGAGAAATTGTATCCCTTTTAAAAGGTAACTAAGAGGTGAAAACAGGTTTGAATATGTTTAATCTGTGGGCACTGATTTTAATTAATAATTTATTTATTTATTCATTTATTTTAATGTTATGTAGACGTTTGTAGATCGTCCAAGAATTAAACTCCTCCACATGTACATATGTACAAGTACACAATGTATGCATGTGCAACCGGCAAATGGGGCGAGCTGATTAAAAATTAGAGGTTAAGAATCCCTAGTGCAAAGGTACATGTGTTTAGTTTGTCTCTCAAAATTTAAATACAAAATCATTTTCTATTTAATCAGTTTTGAAATATCATTAATTTTTTTTTATTTGATTTTATGGAATGGAAAATAAGAACTGAAATGAGACTTAATTCAATATGTTACTATTAGTATATGATCAAATTGATCGATTTTAATTTTGCATGGTAAAAAGTTAAAAGAAAAACACCTTTAAATTGATTTCAATTGATCAGAAATCGGTGATCGACCTGTTATTTGGCTGTATTGTGTACATGTCTTCAGCGCCGGGTAGAACGGGGTACAATTTGTATATTCCATGCAAATTGTAGTGGTCAGCGTAACAATGGGCACTAATTACCTATTGTTCTTCGTCTGCGGCTACCGGTGTTATCAATAAACAAACTACCTACACTGTACATGTACTCGCTACTTTGGAACAATCTTACAGTTTATGGTCGCACGAAAAAAAATTCCGTAATATTGAATTTGATGAGGAATAAAATTGATAGAAAAAATATTTAGAATAGAACACTTTGGTACTATAATAATAAAAAAAGATATATACATGTACATCAAGTACGTTGTACAGACTTATTTTAATTATTATTTCAATTCTAAAAGATCTATCTTTCTTCAGTATTTAATTTCATTTTTTAGTTTTACGCATATTTCTTCAATCAATCAATCATTTATTTGAATCTTTTTACCGTTGTACATTAGTATACATAGACCACAAAAACATATAAAATGTAGGTGATTTTATACATAACAGTAGGTCTAAAAGGCATGCGTGAATAAGAAACTAAACCAAAAAAATTGTAGGTTGCTATAAATGCGAAGTAAGGGAATTTAGGCCGGGGAGTATATTTTGTTTATCAGATATAAGAATATCCCGGGGGAGGTGGTCACATGTATTTTCAATTCTGAATCTCTGCTAACGATGGTATGGGACCGGTAAATACGTAGACGAGAAACTGACTTCGCTTTTTAATAAAAAAAAAAAAAGTGTGCAAAATATACAATCATAAAGATATAAAGAGAAAGATTGTTTAGTGAAGCACTTTTTTGAAATAATATTAGCATTAATTGTTCACAATTCAGATGCAGGGAAACTCCACTCCGCTTAATCCGAGAAAAAAACTTAAATACATGACTGTGTCAGAAACATGACGTTGTGTATCGCACTCATGAATAAATGTTATAGTTACTTCAGTTCTGAATTTCGTATGGTTCATTGCAATTGATTCTCTAAAATAATTTTTCTCATGCATATAAAAAATTCGATAAGTATAAATTAATATCATAACTTGCATGACTTTTAAAACACACAACTAAAGAACAGACCTTGCCCTATCGGCTATCACTTAATTTTAAACAGTATTTCACCCCCTCCTTTTTGTGCTACAATCAAGTAAAATCATATTAATAAGCACCAAGTCTGTACTGTTCGTTTATACAAAGGTCTCGGACAAAAATGGAATTAAAAAAAAAATTATAATCTCTGCACAAAATTCTAATTTTACAAAAACGCAAGCCGTAACGATATCCCTATGGCAGAATGTACTAATAATTGACCCGATTCTAAAACGAAAGTAGAACGTTTACACGTGGTTGACATGTATGTTCCAGAACAACAAGCACAAAGTTTGCATTAATGGAAAAAGTTAATTCAAGTTATGATTTATTTTTTTTTAACTGACTGACCGCATATAACATGTTTAATGAGTGGCGCATAATATTAGAAGGCATATGCCCATAGACTTAAAACTGAATACAATGAAAAAAGAATTAGCCTAAAGCATGTAAAGAAATACGTGTATTTCATTGACTGAAAATCACACTGCATAAGATTTATTTCATGTAGTGTACAATACTTAAGCCTTAACAAATAATTTAAGAGAGAGAGAGAGAGAAAGCGACACAATGATATAAAATTCGCAGGGAGGACTTCGGAGAACTAGAGCGCACTGTCTACATAATATATATATATATATAAAATAAAGATGCTTCAATTTAATTATTTAACCCTGTCACATTCTTCTATAAAATAACAAAGTGTACGCTTTAAGACTAGATTTTATGACAAATATTTAATACTGTCTTGTTAAAATGAGAGCTCAATTTAAAAGTAAATGGAAAAGGGGGGAGGGTGTTTTCAACTTGACGTGCTCATGCATTTTCAGTTCTCCACACGGTTAAATAAATTGATATTTACAACCATTGACTGTATTGAAGTATTAAAAATACCCACAAAAAGCTTTTGATGACAGTACACATAGATGTAAGAAAAAATATGAGATGAGATTTTTTTAACCTTTATGAACAAAAATTAAACTTTTTAAAAAAGTACTTGGGAAGAAAAACCACTGCAAATACAACATAATAATTTTCCTCGGATAATGACATCTACGTGTAAGGAGAAATTTAAAGAAAAAACATAAACATTTATGAAAGCTTATGTTAACATTATGGTCTAAAAATAATTATAATGAAATTAATAGCTGAAAACTGAAAACAAATTAATAAAACGTGACTTTTTTTATTTAGAATAATTTATTTTATAATTGAATGTAATGAATTTGTTAAATAATTAAAAAAAAAACAAATAATCATTTCTCAGGCTATTTTACTCCATTCCCAGGTTAAAAACAATGACCACAGTAATTATCAGTAAATCTCAGCAGCGACAGTACCTCAACAGTAATTATCAGTAATTCTCAGCAGCGACAGTACCTCAACAGTATTTATCAGTATTCATCAGACTCCACAGTAAAAGACGACAGTAATTATCAGTATTTATCAGCAACAACTAAAATTATCAGCAACAACAGTAATAATAACAGTAAATATCAGTAATTATCAGCAAGGACAGCACCGTATCAGTAATTATCAAACATTATCAGTAAAATTTGGGATTCTCAGCACTTTTTTCGTCCAGTAGTGAAGCTTTCGTACCAATAGACCGAAGCCATACTTTACTTTGATCCAGTTAACACTTCTCCTGACAACTTAATTTTCTTGAATACTCCACGAACTTTAGAAGGCATCTTAATCCACACAACTTTGTTAGGACAGTGTATGGTTATATCAAGAATCGAGGGAGGGGGGATTGAACACAAACATTTTCTGGTACAGAATACATCGCTCTTTATTGATGTGATATCAGCTAACTTTTGCTCGATAGAGTCAATAAGCTTCCCCATCTCAGACAAGGATTCATAAAGAAAATAAAAGTTTTAAGTGCGCATATTTAATATTTTTTTAATAATATTTTATTGCTTATTTTTCACGAGCCTTTATTAGCTTATCATAACGTCAGAAACATACTGTTACGACGTCAATCTACCAATCAGCTGGATAATTGTTTTAATATTTTAAAATAATGTGCGAAGTATTGTGCAATGAAAACCCTGTCGGTCCCTTTAAAACCAATGTAGTTAAAAATCACATCTTGGAAAAAGGTAGTGTTTTTTCCACTTTTACTAAATGTTATGACATAGTGAGAATAAAGAAATACTTTAATATATTTTTTTCGTAATAGGCAATAAATCAACCTGATTGGTAGGAGAAGTGCAGCATGTCTGATGTTAGCAGAAGAGCCAATTGTGTTAGAGTTGGAGACGCCGTGAAGGAAGTGTTCGCAGTATGTTTGAGGAATGAGTTGACGAGAAGAATTCCACCTACACATCTTCAAACCAAACTTAATGAAATGAGTAGGAAGAAATGTAAACAGATGTGCCTGTCAGAAGATGAAACAAGATTAATAAAAAAGGCCACTCTAAGCAATTCCTACGAGGAAATCGATTTCTCTTTTTTGTACAAACTTTTGAGGTACTGTAGCTTACTCTTAATTTTACGGCTTAATATTGAAAATCTTTAAGTTCATACAGTTAACCCTTATGAATCCAAAATGAATTGCATTATTAATGCACATGTAAATGTACTTGATATCAATACTCTCACGGTGTCTGTAGAATTGGTAGATAATTGGAAAGTGGAATAATTTACAAAACGGATGAAGCCCTTAATGTATAAACTATCTCACATTTCCTACAGTGGTTCCTTAAATACATGTAATACTTTTGACATTATGTGTTGATTTATATTTTATATACCATTATCACCATATGGAGGAAAGAAAGAATGAATGAATGAAGAAAAGTGCCTTATAGTTTCCACTTAGCTCTCTCCGGAAAACTATTAAATTTATACTACTGATAATTGCATTTTTTTTTTCAGGAAAATTGACCCAGGAACCAAAGATAAATTGTTTATGGATGATATGACAGAAATGAGTAAGATACGAAATAAATGGCATGCACATTTGCCTAAAAATGAAATAGAAGATCAGGAATTCTCAATTATATGGAAAGGCTGTGAAGAAATTTGCAAAAGGATGGACCAAAGAGAGCAAATGGAAAAATATTTTACGGTAATACTTATTTTCATTATTGTTATCGTTGTAATTCTATTAATATTTTTTTATATTAATGAAGGATTCTTTCTATTTCCAATTTTATTTTACTTGGGAAAAGTTTTGCTAAAAGGATGTTACTGATGTTTTTCAACACAATATTTACAAACTTTTTTGTAAACTGTTAGTTAAATGTATAAAACCTGCATTTATCAACAACTAAGGCAATTTTCACAGTGTTTAGTTTGTGAAAGACGACACATGGATGTTGTCAAAATAAGTATTTCATTCTTTTAAATTTAATTATTCATTTTAATTGTACAGATTTGATAGATTTGATTATTTTTGGAGAGTAATTTCATCAGCATTTCTTTAATCCTGGCAAAAATTATGATAGAATATATTTCTTTATCCTTATAGTATATTATGTATGTTTCTTTTCTTTTTTTAGAGTTTGGATAAAATTAAGCATCGCGAGGTTTTGATTACATATGACAGTACTATGAGCTATGGTGGGGATGTATTTTTTCAAGGTAAATGTTTGGAATTATATATAACTTTGGTTGATTTGTAAACAACAAAACATGTTCACATTACTGTTATAATAGATTTGATGGATCATTAATTTTGATGATATTATACATAATTTACCTTACAAACAAGTTTGGCACACATACGTAAAATGCGCATCTAAACCTTTAAATCGTTAGACTCAGTGGGAATCAGCATGAAGTAGTACATTATAGGCGGGTCATAAAATGAGTTAAAACCCTGACATATTTTAATTTCATTTGTTTTTGATATATAGTATTTCTAGCTATTAATTCGGGGAACTAACCTGATTTTGCTTACATTATCAAGACACTTTTTTTTTCAGCTATTCATATCTCATAATTGATATTTCAAATAAAAAGAATAACCGACTTGAAAGTACATATAATTAATCTAAAAATTTAGAAAGCTTGACTCTAGAGACCCACTAAATTTTCTAGGTACAGGATAAGTTTTCTATAGATTTTTGTATTCAGAAAATTCTTTGTATTTTCGTACATTTCACCTCTGTCGGTATTTTTTTTTTAATATATATTTTTAGGTCTGTTTGCATACACTTATCAAAATAAAAATATTAATAAATAAACAAAACCGCTTAAATTTGCATTATTTAAAAATGTGATATTACTGTAACTGTACATAAAAAGAAGGAATGTATGACAGTAAAACCAAGAGATCCATGGGCCACATCGCTCACATGGGCTAGTTAAAAACAAATATCAGCTCAGTATTGAAAAAATTACTTGTTAGGGGAGGGGGATAAATTTTCCATTGCTCGAAAATGTCACTATATCAATAAAGCATACGTGTATAATTTAACCATACTTGAAAAGAAATTTTAAAAGATTTTTCATTGATCTCCCATTGTGACCCCTCGCCCCCCCCCCCCCTCCTCGACACACACACACACCTTGAGACATTATTTGAATATATTTACATCCTCACTTATTGCAGATGCTTACATGTGGATTTGACTAATCAAAACTTTATGTTTTTGAGAAGATTTATTTTGTATATCTTATGCAAAACTTTGATCCCTAATTGTTGCCACACCCGAGTCCCTGAGTCATAATTTGAACAACTTGTATCTACACTGCCTGGGGATGCGTCCACAAGTGTTTCATTATTCCTGGCCCAATGGTTCTGGAGAAGATTTGTTAAAAAAATTCTATATATTCCTATTTTAAACTTAAATCAGCTATTGTGGCCCCGCCCTACCCCCGGGGTCATAATGTGGACAAACTTGAATCTACTCTACCTGAGGATGCTTCCATATGAGGTTCATCTTTCCTAGCATAAAGGTTCTGGTGAAGAAGATTTTGAAAGATTTTTCCTATATATTCCTATGTAAAATTTTTTTTGCACCCGTAAAGGAAGGTTTCAGGGGTATATAGTTTTTGTCGTGTCCGTCCGTCTGTCTGTCTAGCTGTCTCTGTCTGTTTGTTAATCTGGAAAACTTTAATCATGCCCAAAACTTTTGATTTAGTAGATCTATGATTTCATATTTCACATGGGTATTCCTTGTGACAAGACCTTTCTTTGGATACCACCAAATTTGACTTTTGACCTTGACCTTGGAGTATGACCCACCATTACACAAAAATTCTTAACTTTTACTTTGGCCGTATCTTAAGAACAGTAGATACCGGGTCTTAAATATTTCACGTATATGTTTTTGTGGCAAGACGTTTCATTGGATGCCAACAACTTTGACCTTTTGACCTTCACCTTGGAGATTCCGTACTTATGAAAAAACCTTAACCTTGACAATGTCCTTTGATCGACAAAGGCTAGGGATTTTATGCTTCACATATGAAATTCTTTTAATAAGACGCTTCATTGGATACCAAGAAGTTTGACCCTTTGACCTTGACCTTGGAGTTTGACCTACTTTTAAAATACTACCTTGAACATAATTTTTGAAAGGTTAGGACTAGGGCTTTAATACTTCACATATTTATTTCTTGTGACAAGACCTCTCATTTAAAATAAAGAACCTTGACCCTTTGACCTTGGAGTTTGACCAATTTTTACAACAAAAAATGTAAATTTTGAATTCGGCCCTAATTTTTAAACTGTAGATACTAGGAATTTCTTATTTCAAATATTAATTCTTAATGATAAGACATTTCATTTGAAATCAATATTTTTGACCTTTTGACCTTGACTTTGGAGACCTTGGTCATAACCTTTGAACAGGTGGTCCTAGAGATATAATATCACATCTGTATTTCTTGTGAAAAGGCTTTACTTTAGATACCAACATATTTGATCTGCATTTGAGAAAACTTACCCTTCGCTATGTTACCATACGGAGGCATCTGTGTTTCACAAACACATCTTGTTTTTTCACATTCACCTCACCTTGGAAGAAGGCTTGGTCCTTCATTTATACAAACTTGAATCCCCTTAACCCAAGGATACTTTTAAGCAAGTTTGGTTGAAATCGACCCAGTGGTTCTTGAAAAGAAGATGAAAATGTGAAACTTTTACAACGACGCCAACGCTAACAACAACAACAATGACGACGACGACAGACAACCGATAAATTTTGATCAGAAAAGCTCACTTGAGCCAGAGACATATAAAACCAGAGATTCGCAACTCTCCGAAATCTCGCGTAATCTCGCGGGGCCTATTGTTTACAATTTTGCAAATCTCGGACTGAGCGAGATTTAAAATGAAGGCTACCGACGATGTAAACAAAACCTTTTTAATTAATGTTTTGACTTAAGAAGGCGATAAACAGTCTTTTTTATGTTTTTATGTTTTTAATGCTAAAGAAATATAATTCGGCATTTAGGAAACCAATTCGTATTTATTTTACGATTTAAATTGCTTTGAAACTAGTGTTGATGTTATGTATTTTCTCCCTGTATTAATCAGGCCTGGAACAATCACTAGATTTAGATACGTAGCTTGATTTACCTACATAGATTTATTTACCTACCTGAGGTAGGTTTATTTAGCTACCAAATTGATTTATTTCTGTAAAAAAGCATTTTTCTCATGATGTGCAGAGAATATCATTTTGATGCAGTGATCAGTAATTATTCAGCACAATGTAAAGTAATCATATTCGGGCCTGCCTCGCCGAGAGGACAGTTAACCAAACAATGGAATTACATGTTTTACTCTGAATTGTCCAAACCTAGCTACTGGAGTATACTTGAGTATGTATAAACTATCTCTGCTTTGACCTGAACTTGAACTTGGATTGTTTGTTTTTGTTTTTTTTTAGCTTCCCTAGTATAACAATCAATATAGTCATTAAATTGCGACTTTTTGTCTCTTTTTTATAAAAAGAAAACTTTTGAAAACTTACCTTGAAATAGCTAAATAAAGCTACCTGAGGTAGGTAAATAAAGCCCTACAAAACAAGGCAACCCCTTAGATGCCCATGCCATAGAGACCATTTTCCAGCCAGCATTCCTGACGAGCCTTGAGAATCCCATGTACCAATTATTTGGGGACAGTGAAATCATCAAAATGTGTCGTGTCATCGTGAGATTACTATTGTCTTACAACCCCATTAATAAAAAAAAACCAATGAATCTCTGATTCCATGAAAACAGATAAACAAAGATACTGTATATATATTTAATTTGCCAAATTGACAAACAATTCATGGAAATTTTTAGATAAAGATAATGGTGATTTTTGTTGTTTTTACACATTGGACACCCCAAAAGGTCCATGTATATTTATCTTTTCTAAGGTCCAAATCTATAGAAAATTAGCCAAATACATTGCTACATACATTAATTTCAATGTGTTTATAACTTTCCATGACAAAAAATGCATTATTTAGAAGTTTTAGGAATTAATAAATTTACACATATTTTTGTTGTTTTCACACTAGACACCAAAAAATGTCAATGTATATTTGTCTTTTCTGAGGATCAATCTTTGAAAAAGTAGCCAAATACATTGCTACATACATTAATTTTAATGTATTTATGCCTTTCGATGAGAAAAAATGCATATTTTGGAAGTTTTACGTATTATTAAATTTGCTCAAATGTCTCCGTTCACACATAGGACACCCAAAAAGGTCAACATATATATTTTTTTCCTGAAAATAAAATCTATGAAAAACTAGCCAAATACATTGCTACATACATTAATTTTAATGTATTGATAACTTTCAATGGGAAAAAATGCATATTTTAGAAGTTTTATGAATTATTAAATTAGCACATTCTTATCTAAAAATGGGCCATAATAATCTAAATGTGAAGTTTATTTTCGAAAATGCATGATTTATCGCACTCAAATACTACAAACACTATTAGTCTGAATGATTTAATCACCTTTGACATCTACATATGTGCACGGGTCAATGAACAACCAAAGAAAACAAACCGTAGCAATGTTTACATAAGCCGTGAGCTCCAGAGGCGGGGACGCGTGGCCAATTAATCCATTGTTTGCATGTTTTTGACACCCAATGTACCGGTAAATGAGGCCGTTATCATCTTTGGTGTCAAAAAAACAATAAACTTAATTGATTTGCTTGCATGAACAGCGGGTGGTACTTAAAAAGCGATATCTTATCTCTCGGTCAATAAAAATTTCAAGATGGCGCCTGGACTGGATTCTCACTCTCGCGTTATCTCGGGGCACGCGAGAGTTCGTGGTTATTTTGAAGCTCTTATAAGAAGTTGCGAATCTCTGGTTTTATATGTCTCTGCTTGAGCATTCGACTTAGGTGAGCTAAAAATACAGTTGTCAGGTGTTGCTTTTATGCCCCCGTAAACGAAGTTTCGGGGGTATATAATTTTGGTCGTGTCCGTCCGTCTGTCTGTCTCTTTGTCTGTCTCTCTGTTTGTCTGTTTGTCCGCATAAACTTTAACTTTGCCTATAACTTTTGATATTATGGAGCTGTGATTTACGTATTTAACATGTACATTCCTTGTGACAAGACCTTTCTTTAGGTACCACAAAGTTTGACCTTATGACGTTGACCTTGGAGTTTGACCCACGTTTATACAAAAAATCGTAACTTTTCCTTTGGCCATATCTTTTGAACAGTATATACCAGAACATTTAAACTTCACATATATATTTTTTGTGGCAAGACATTTTATTGGATACCACCAACCTTGGCCTTTTGAGCTTGACTTTGAAGATTTCCGTACTTAAGAAAAAACTTTAACCTTGGCTATAACATTTTGACAGTAAGGGCTAGAGCTGTCGCATTTCACATTCTTTTAAGAAGACCCTTCAAGGGATATCAAGAACTTTGACCCCTTCATCTTGGAGTATGACCTACTTTAAAAAAAAAACCTTGACCATATATTTAAAAGGGTTAGAGCTAGACTAGTGCTTTCATACTTTATTTCTTCAATCCTTGTGACAAGATCTTTCATTTGCTATTAAGGCCTTTGACTTTTTGACCTTGGAGTTTGACCTACTTTTTAAAATTTTTAACCTTGGCCATGTCTTTCGAACGGTTAAGGCTAGGGCTTCCGTACCTTATATATTCATTTTTTGAGGCAAGACCGTTTATAAGTTACCTATAACTTTGACCCTTTGACCTTGACCTTGGCGATTTCCGGACTTATGCGAAACTTTAACCTTGGCAATAACTATTGAACAGTTAGAGCTAGGGCTTTCATACTACACATGTGTATTTTGGTGGAAAGACCGTTTATTAGATACCAACAACTTTGACCTTTTTACCTTTACCTTGGAGATTTCCGGACTTATGAAAAGAAAATTATTCTTGACAATAACTTTTGAAGATCTTTTATCGGATACCATTGCCCTTGACCTTTAATCTTAGAGATTTCAGAACTTATGAAAACAGTATCCTTCGCAATAATTTCTTACGGTTATGGTAAGGGCTTCCATACTTCACATATGTATTCTTTGTGGCAAGACCTTTTATATTATATACCAATAATTCTGACCTTCTGATTTTGAAGAATTCTGTACTAATGAAAATATTTTAACCTGGCCATTACTTGGGAAAAGATTGTGATAGGGCTTTCATATACCACAAATGCATTTCCAGTTAGGAGACGCTACTTTGGGTACAAATATATTAAATTTGCATATAGAAAAGTTTAATCTTCACTATGTTGCCGTACGTGGGCATCGGTGTTTTACAAACACATCTTTGTTTTAAACTACATAAACCAACTTTTATTTGCGACGACTTTATTTCGCGATTGAATGGAGTAAAACTGGTTCGCGACGATTAATTTTTGCGATTTAACCTTTTTTTAATCTGTTTCTAATAAACACAGAGACTTTAAGGACTGGTTCGCAGCGAGAAATATTCGCGATGATGAGGCTCTCGCGAACTTCGCAAAAATTTCTAGTACGCGAATAAAAGTTGGTTTACAGTATGTTCAGTGTAGATTTGATTTCCTTCCTCTCAAAATTTTCCATGTAATTCCGGGTTAATTCTACATTTAAGGTGTCTAGAAAACGTCACTTCCATTACTTTCAGTTTCAATGATAGATATGAAGAATTTTTGTGGTTTGATGCAATTTTTACACGGCGAGTCCAATTGGGCAGATGATTGAAAAGAGTGAGTCAATCATTTTGAAACTAGTTTTCACACGACACCCGTATGAAAAGTGGAAGATATTGATTCGAAAAGAGACACACCCTGAAAAAGAAGAAGGCAACTGTCGTGCTTTCAAGATTCTTTGATACAATAATGACATTTTTAAAACGCGAACATTTCAGCGATATTTTTTTTCTTCTTAAATGAATGTATGTATGTAACATCTAGTTACACACGTAATGCACAAAACACACCTTCATGAAGCCGAGTGCCTATGGACATCTAAGTTTGAGTGACAAAGTTCTGAAAGACGTTTCAGATAAAGATACAATACAATAAAAAGTTTGCAGCGTAAACTTCTCAAGTAAAAGAAGGTCCCAAAACCTACAGATACGTCTACAGAACGCAAATTATGAGTTATTTCAATTACATCTGATACAGCATATTTTTTTTTAATTGTTGATAATGAATCTTAAAAATTTATTCTAATTTTCTTCCCTCAGTTTTTTTCTATCTGCAGCTATACAATCTTCCTTTGAGTAGTTAATTACTGCTCGTTGTTCAGGACATCTTGTCTCATTTAATTTTTTTCCCTTGGAATAAAAATCTAATATCACTAAAAGGATGAAAAGAATCCTTGAATATTTTATTTTTATTTTCAAGAGGGAAAATGTATATCATGTAGGGACAGGTTACTTTAAAGCGCATAATATGTATATAAGCATAATTATCAAAACCATATTAATACCTATGTAATTCTGCAATAGCATCATAGTGGAGGAAGACCTATTCAGTATTCACCACAAATTACAAATTGAAATATATATTTTTTCACTTTTTTTGAAGAATTAAACAGAAAATCATTCATCATTTCCACGTGGAAGGAGGAAGATGATAAATATTACGAGACGAGTGGCTGTAAATATACCGAAAGACTCGTAGATTCAAAATCCATTGTAACCATAGTTGGGCCCTCAGGTTGTGGAAAATCTGCAATGGCTCAGCATATTGCTTTGAAATATAAAGACCGAGGATGGATGATCATACCTATAAGCGACATTGAAGAATTTTATAAGCTGGTTGATACAAATGTGCCTGTTAACCAAATGTATGTATTACACGACCCTCTTGGAAAGGAGTCTATCAATGATATACTCTTAAGTAAATGGATATCATTAGAAAATATTGTTGAAAAGTATCTTGAAAGCAATCGACTAAAATTACTTGTAACGACAAGGGTAGCGATACTAAACGATAAAAAATGTATAAAATTGTTGAAAACAAATCTAGTTCCTCTTCATGAGAAATTCCCTCTTTGCAAAGAAGAAAAAAAGTGCATACTAATGAAGCATTTTACGGGAATATATCATCTTTCATCAGAGGAGAGAGAACGCATATTAAATACTGAACATTATTTTCCACTGTTATGTTCCTTGTTTGGGCGTAATGAAAAGTATGAGCAAAAAGGAAGTAAATTTTTTACAGAGCCGACATCAGTTATATCTAAGGAAATCGCTTATTTTAAAGATAACGATAGATTAGCATACTTGAGCCTCATTCTATTACTTTCTACCAGTGGGATTCTTGAAAAAAGAAATTTGTCTAATGTGAGGTCGGACATCTTTAAAGAAGCTTGTGAGTTGTGTGGTGTTGATTATAATACACCAAAAAGATTAATTTGTGAAAAATTAGATAGTTTGGTGAATGTTTTAGTTAAAATAGTAGGAGGGAACTTTTTATTCTATCACGATTTTATCATGGATGTTGCAGCTTATACATTTGCATCAGATTTTCCAGATTTCCTCATAAAGATCTGCCCACTGCCTGTACTTAGAAAGAGAGTTTTTATCAAATTTCAAACCTTAAGAAAAAAAGATGACCTTTCAATAAGTTTACCTGAGGAATACGCTGACGCGCTGGTGGATAGAATTTTAACGGAAATGGGAGAAAATTTTACAGAGGTCTTCTTGTGTCCAGCATTTGAAAATTATAAAATACGAAATATCTTCATAAATCGAATTTTGACCATGGACGACAATCACTTTCAAAGAATGTTCTTGACCACCACTTATCGACAACAAAACTATCTTACTTTTGTCTTAAAGACCGTCTCTGCAGCATTCCCAGACCTTCAGAGATCTTTACAAAATCATATTAACTTAAAAGAACAGGCAAACCCTATATTAACACCCGAAAAAGAAAAGGCAATTGAAAGTCTGAAAGACATTCAAAGTTCATCGATCGAGAGCAGAAAAAATATTCAATTTGATGAAGTAAACTGTTCTAAAATTGGTATTCTTGGCAGTGAAGGGGGTGCAGAAGAATCTACTGAACAGTTCACTGATTTAGTGAAAACCCTTTTAAATGAATCAGGTCTGTGTAGTATTTTCGATGAAATTCCATGTACAGATCCAAAAGAAATGAAAACAAAGTTGGTGTCAATATTTGCTGAATTTGGCCAGCTTATGGTGATTCTTATGGATGATCCAGATGGATTTGCAATTTTAAGAAGTTTCATGAAGAATATTAAAGCAATTTTGATTCAAAGAACTGATGGTCAACAATATCTTCTACCACCTAGTGTACAAGTCACAAAATTAAGTATCACAAGTCTTAATACTTTACTGAATGCAAGTAGTGGAACAGAGCGTGACAATTATTTTTTCCATTGCATTCAAAATTTTCAAGTGGAACAAGCTGTTGAAATTTTTTTTCAATTTTGTAGATGTGTCAATTTATCGATGAATATGATGACACCTAATATGCGCAAACGTATGCAGTCTTTAATAAAAAATTGTTTATTTGTCCAAAACGTCATTTCAAATGGAACACGCAATCTTCTCAAAAATCCTTCTTCTCCGTTTCATTCTTCTTTCAGAAAGTCGGAACAAATGATTGAGAAGTATAAACTTCAGGCATCTTCTTCAAAGGAAATTTGTCTAATAAGAGAACTCAAAGAAAACTTATCTGTTACTCAGACACTGAAAAATAATTTAGCCCTACTTGCTGAAGAAGTATCACCTTTACTAAGCTGTATAATATATGGTGACAAGAAAATTGTCGAGGCCATTATAGAACGTGTAAAGAGAATAGAAAATGGAAAGGACATTATATCAAACAAAATATTTTTAGCAGCATGTTTGAATGGGTCTGTAGAAATCGCACATTTGCTCTTAGAATTAAAAGGGGAGGATATTTTATATCAAAAATGGAATTGCAGTACCTTAATCGGATTAAATGCACTACATATAGCATCTCTCTTACATCACAGTGAGATGACTGCTTTTTTACTGGACAAAAAATTTCCTGTTAATACAATTGATGGAATAGGTCGTACTCCTTTGATTTATGCGATCTCGAGTTTCCATAAAGACATGTCACAATGGGAAAGACAGAGAGGTTTCGATACTCTTGAGACCCTCTTTAATAATGGTGCTAATACATTAATTCGGAATTTATTTGGAGCTTCTGCTTTCCACTGTGCCTGTGAACTCATAGATGATATGGATGTTTTTAAACATTTTTTAAATGAAAATGTGAACGATTTAATGGACGATGCAACCAGTCCTTTAATGCTTGCTTCAAAAAAGGGAAACACAAATATTGTGCGCCTGCTACTTCAACAAAATGCTTCTGTAAATCATCACAATGAAGCAGGACATGCTCCAATACATTATGCTTGCATTAGTGGTGTAATAGAAACTGTAACATGCCTTTTAGATTATGGTGCGAAACCAGACGATGTTGATAACTTGGGAATGTCGCCATTAATGTTGGCTGCAGCAAATGGGCATATTGATGTTGTTCAACTTCTTTCAAAAATATCTTTCATTGATCAAATTGATCAGATGTTGAATACGGCACTTCACTATGCAGCTAAACATGGTCATTTGAATGTTGTTAAAATTTTATTCGAACGAGGAGCAAATGTCAATCATGATAACAAAAATCTTGATACACCTATTTTCTTCGCTGCTTCTAACGGACATTATATGGTTACAAATGAGTTAATTAATCTGGGAGCCGATGTCAATAAATGCAACATATCTGGGAAAACCCCTTTAATGCAAGCAGTTCTTCAAAATCATATAAACTTAACAGAACTTTTGCTAGATCGGGGATCAAATGTTAATATTCGTGATGCTAATATGAGAAATGCAATATGGTTTTCTGCCTCCCAAGGTCATGAAGATATTACCACGTTGCTTTTACATAAAAAAGCAGAGTTTAACATCAGTGATGGAAATGGTCTTACTCCTCTTACTATCGCTGCAAAGAATGGAAAAATAAAAACTGTGTCTCTACTGCATCAGCTAGGGTGTAATATAAATGAATATACCAAGAACCATGACACTCCTCTTATACTTGCGGCTAGTGAAGGTCATAATGATGTTGTCAGCTTTTTAATAAGTCATGATGCAGATATCAATTTGCTGAATAAGAGAAGGGAAAATGCTCTGTTACAAGCTTCTGCAAATGGCCATGAATATATAGTAAAAATTCTTATTGATGCATCTTCAGATATAACTCCAAACTGTGAAAATATTGATCCATTATATATTGCAGCAGCAAATGGGTATCATAATATCGTAGACTATCTTGTAATTTCTGGGCCTATTGAAAATACCATCATTTTTCGAGTTGATTTGGCACTTTTGGTAGCCTGTCGTGAAGGTCGAACGTCAACTGCAAAAATGCTGATCACGATTATTTCAGATATCAACGTGCAAGATGAAAAGGGTCGATCTGCTCTTTGGTTCGCCGTGTTGGGAGAAAGTGAAGATCTCGTCAACGTATTACTGGATAATGACGCTAATGTTAATATGCCTGATAAATTGAATAAGACCCCACTAATGATTGCATCCGAAAAACGCCATGGAAAAATCATTGTGGAGCTACTTAGAAAAGGGGCACGTTTCGCAATACTCATTATTATATATACAGAAAAAACAGTTTTTTCCCTTCGAGACGTTGAATGTATATTTTATACATATACTTCAGATCCACCAAGACCAATTCTCGAAGATTTTTTGAATTTTAAAAATTTTTCAACCAATCTGGTAAAGATTCTTTCGGGAGAACTACCTGCAGACCAGGTCTTTAATATAAACAATATGTCAATTTCTATGTTAAACAGGCAATGAGATGTAGATTATCCCTAGAACCCAATATTCATTATATCTTTGATTTTAAATACGTACTAAAGGGAGGGCAAATTTGGATAAAATGCCAGTTGTTACTCTTTAAGACATATTCACTGTACATCTATCAAGACATGGTTGATAAAAAATTGTTCTGAAACCCTCGATACATATGACATGAGAAGATAGGTATATAGTATATTTAGTTATTTATTGTGTCTTAACATGTACGTGTCTTCCATTATTTAGATTCAATGTCTCCATTCAAGACTAAAATCGTTTCATTAAAAGAATATTCATTTGAATAATTTTAAGGTCTCTACGTTTATGAGCCAGATGTATTTTATGACATTTTTTTTTTACATTTTATGTCATAACCTTTACACAAAAGTAATATCACCTAGTAATGTGGTACATAAATTTAAACGCATATTTTCCTATGTATCGCAATCATGCGACTGATCAGTATTAAGTAATTTGACAAATTTTAAATTCATTTTTGGTATATAACAGTAAAGGGGAAATGGAAATCTTTGTATATTGTTTAAAATTACGTTTAGTAATAACTTAAATTCGATTTTCAAGCCGTGCGATATTAACTGTAAACAATTTATAAATTTTATTATTTATGAATATTTGTATTTGAAATAAATGTTTTAAAATCTGCCACTATGACAATCATTTTGTAATATGACACACAATTCAGCTGAGATTTGCTTTTTCTTTCAATAAAGTACGATTTTTCATTTTATTGCGTTCTTATGAAAACATTTAAATATCATTAAAGTTAGTTCAAAGCAATATCCAGGTATACCTCTTGGTATTATTATTTATTACATACTTAGTAACAAATACAGGATTTATGCATATGCGATATGCCTGTCGTCACAATAGCCGTATCAGCCCTACAGGGCAGATACGGATTTTCACGGCTGATATGGATTTGCAGGGCTGATACGGATCAATATTACACCCGTAGTAAATCAAACAAAAAAAAAAAACAGTTATTGTGCTCATATACATGTACATATTCTGGGGATACACTTTCTCTTTATTTTAACTTTTAATGTAAGGATAATCTAAATGACAAATCAAAAATTATTTTCAAATTACGGATCGGGCACAATTTAAATAGAAGTAGAAACAAACCTAAACTGCATGAGACAATACGTCGTGTACCTGTAAGAGGTCGTGCATGATTATTTACTTTTCTTCTTCTCAACTTAATGTGTACTGTACTTTATTACTAGGTATGTAATAAACATAATAAAAAAATACCCTTTCCCTTCTGCCCTCTGGCTGATATTTGTGTCTCGGGCTGATACAGGATGTGATATGGGAAAAGGTATGAATTATTCTCTATTTATCTCATACGTGTGGATGATACAGGCATTGGATAAACCTACAGTGTATGCTTTATCCACGGGTAGATGCTTTATCAATAGCACTTCCGGTTTTGACACGATCCCTTGCTTCGAGATTTTATTTTATTGAAACTTTTATTAAAATTTTGTAAAAATCCTTGCCCTTATAATATGAATGATAAAGAGCACAATGTCGTTAAAAGCAAGAAAAAGACTCGTACATGTCAAAGAAGTGTCTTATTTTATCAAGACTACTTGCAGACGTATGTTAACCTCCCCCCCCCCCCTTTCCGCACATTCCTTTAAATTGTTCTCGGAGAAAGTAAGGCCTAGCAGTTAAGTTGTTGTTATGAGATTCCTTTAAAATCTTCAACTTTTTAAAAATATTTTACTACGTATGCCTACCTATAGTAGTAATGTAGGTGTAACTTATCATGGATAAAAAAATAAATCGACCCCTAACCTTGCCTAACACGTTTTGTACTGGCATCGTCCAAAGAGTAAATTTTCACGATCCCATGGTCCTTACTACTTTCATTCAGAAGTTCGTTTGATGTAAAGCTCCAGCAATTGTCACATAATGTTTTCAAAGACGGAGATAGCAAAAATTCTAAATTTTGAACACGATCTACTTTCTTCCGAGGCATGTCAACATCAACAGTGTTACGTTATAAAAGTTATACATCATCAATTTGAATTAGCAATCATTTATGTAGTCTCTGTATATTGTTTAAACGAAAGTCGTATGAGATAAATTGAACATCTATAATTGTGTGATTTGATATCGGCTTTATCCAACTCGTTGAAATGATGTATATTCGCTCGGCAAGCCTCGCGAATATATACACCTTTTCAACTCGTTTGATAAAACCAATATCAAATAACACGATATACATGTAGATATCCTCTATTTATTGAATGAGCAAAAGATTATTCTGTCGACATAAGAACTGTTCACATTTACGGATATGAAAACCTTGATCTGTATGTTGTGTTGCAAAAATCACCATTCAACACGTGGGTCAGCCAAAACGGAGTACTTTATTCCATATTCATGCGCAGTACATTCTAATATGAAAACTGTTAACGAAAGATACAAAAGATCCGGAATACATCACATTCCTCCCCTTCATTTAAGATGTACACATTTTTCAAGATTTTACAGTCACTATTCAGTAATAAAATTGTAACATATTTTTTTACTTATTCAAGAGTCAATTTCTTTTTGAAAGTCACTGATAATGTTCCTGGCTTTTAATATCATGAAAAGCTATTTAGCTTAAAGAAAACAATATCATAAAATGACTAGAATGACTATATGACTAGAACTAATGAACACATTTGCACTTTAACAACAAATACTGATAATAGAAAAGAACCTCTGGTTCTTACTGATTACATGGAGATTATTATGCTCCAAACACTGTGTAATCAGCATAATATTCACAAATTCAGTTTCTTTGGAGCTCGTCTCTCTCTTTGCGGATAGCGTCTAACATTTGGAGTCGGCTCTGTCACGGACGGTTCCTTGGACACTACAGGAGTTTTCGAGACAGCTTGTGAAATCGCATCTTTTCCTTTCGGAGTACGCATTGTTGTAGGAACGGTCGGTCTGACATCCGGAATTTCAATATTTGGTTCCGAATTGGTGTCGCTAGTTCCACTACGAAGCTGATCAGCATGACGTCGCCATAGAGTGCCAAGTCCTGTGTCAACTGTGTAAGAAAGCGGTCCGGTACGTGAGTGTATCTCACCAGGTATCCAACTGCGTTCTGCCTTCCTGTAATCTCTGGCCATAACCTTCTCTCCTTCCTTAAATTCTCTAACATTAGAGCGTATGGAAAGTTTCATCTGGTCTTGTCCTGACAATACCGTATCATTTAAGTTTGGTTTAATGATGTCCAACCTTGTTCGCAAGTTTCTTCCCAACAGCAGCTTTGCAGGTGATTCGTTCGTTAACGAATGTGGTGTAGTACGGTATTTGAATAAAAATGTGCTCAGCTTTTGTTGCATTGATGTTTGGTCTCCCTTAGCGCTCTTCATTGCCTGTTTGAATACTTGAACAAGTCGCTCTGCTTGCCCATTCGTACGAGGGTGATACGGCGCAGAGGTAATATGCTTGATGCCGTTTTGTGCAAGAAATAACTGAAATTCCTCCGAAATGAACTGGGGTCCGTTATCTGACACTATCACCTTCGGAAGTCCAAGTTGTGAAAATAAAATTCTCAATTTCTCAATGGTAAGTGTTGCTGTTGTTGATTTCATTGGAAAGATCTCCAGCCATTTAGAATGTGCATCTACGATGAGTAAGAACATAGAGTTCATGAATGGCCCGGCAAAGTCTATGTGTAGGCGGTCCCAGGGTTCCTTCGGCCAATCCCAGGGATGCACTGGAGCAGCTTTTGGCATGTTGCTATGTTGCTGGCAACCACCGCAACCGGAACACAAGTTTTCGATATCTTGATCAATTTTAGGCCACCACACATATGATCTTGCGATAGACTTCATTTTGACGATCCCAATGTGACCCTCATGTAAATCTTGTAAAACTCTGTCTCTTAGTTTTTCTGGTACAACAACACGATTTCCCCACATCAAGCAATTCTGGTGACAGGTAAGTTCCTTAAATCTGTAACTGTAAAGACGAAATCTCTCGTCATCTGCAGGTAAGTCATTGTGTCCCTTGGAAACACAGTCCAATACATGTGATAAGACATTATCTCTTTGAGTTCCAAGCTTGACTTGTGCACTAGTAACAGGTAGTTGATCCATTTGAGTATTGTAAAATACTGTTGCTGTGTCTTCATAATCTGATGCTGTCACTGAAAGTGGTAGTCTGCTAAGTCCATCAGCATTACAATGAGATTTGGTGTTTCTGTATTCTATGTCGTAAGTATGTCCAGCCAGATATAGCGCATACCTCTGCAGTCGTGCAGCTGTCATGGCAGGTATTCCGGCACTAGGGTTCAGGATGCTAACCAACGGCTTGTGGTCTGTGACTAATGTGAAACGACGTCCATACAGGTAAGTATGAAATTTAACTACTCCCCAATACAAAGCTAAGGATTCCTTGTCAATTTGAGAGTATGCTTTTTCAGCCTTGTTAAGTGATCTGGAAGCAAATGCTATTGGTCGTTCAGTTCCATCATCCATTACATGGGAAAGAACACTACCAATTCCATACGGAGAAGCATCGCAGGCTAGCTTGACTGGCTTGTTTGGGTCATAATGACAAAGAACTTGTTCTGACGTCACCATTTCCTTAACTTCTGTGAAGGCCTGCTCACACTGTTTTGTCCATTTCCATGTTTTATCTCCCTGCAGAAGTTCATTCAGTGGACCCAGGACTGTTGACAGGTTTGGTAAGAATGAACGGTAGTAATTAACTAAGCCTAAGAATGAGTTGCTGTAAGTTCTCTGGTCTTGGCGCATTAAGTACAGCGTTGACCTTGTCTGGTGACTTCTTCAGTCCTTCCTCTGATATCATGTGACCACAGTATGACACTTGTTCTTTAAAGAAGTCGCACTTGTCCATGTTAGCCTGTAGACCAAACTTTTCTAATCGTTCTAAAACTGCATCAAGGTTCGCAAGGTGCTCTTCATCTGTTTTCCCGGTTATGATCATGTCATCTAAGACACATGATGTAAACGGTATCCCTTGTAACACTTGGTCCATGGCACGTTGCCATATAGCTGGGGCAGCAGCAACACCAAACTGTAGACGTGTGTACTGGAATAAGCCCTTGTGTGTATTGATTGTCATTAGTTCTCTGGACGACTCATCTACTTGCATCTGGTTGTAGGCTTGTGTCAAGTCTATCTTAGAAAACTTCCTTCCTCCTGCTAGTGACGCAAATATATCCTGAATTCGAGGTAACGGATACTGGTCCACCTTCATCACTGGATTGATGGTTACCTTGTAGTCTCCACACACACTTGACCATTTTTCTTCACTACAGGAACAACAGGTGAGGCCCATTTACTGTGAGTAACTGACTTGATTATGCCCTCTTTTTCCAAACGTTTCAGTTCTTCCTCGACTTTTGGCTTTAGGGAATAAGGTACGGGTCTAGCCTTGCAGAATTTTGGTTGAGCACTATCTTCCAGGTACAATGAAGCTGTAATTCCTTCCAGTTTTCCAATCTCGGATCTGAAAACGGCTTGATGTTTGTCGAGAATTTCCTTTAACATAGTGTCAGTTTTCTGTGTAGTCTGTTGTAGCTTAAACACTTTCACTTCATGCCAGTTCACTTTAAACTGTGATAGTCCATCTCGACCAAAGAGTGCGGGTCCATTTTGTCTCACTACTACTAGATCCATGTTTCCCTGTTGCTGATTCAATGTCACTGGTACATGCACTGTGCCTAGAGGACTAATATTCTCACCTGTAAAAGTCTTGAGTTTTATTTTGGTCCCCTGAAGTGGTACGTCACTGAGATTTTGTTTATAGAACGATTCAGGTATGATAGATACAGACGATCCAGTATCTAGCTCCATGTTAATAGGTTGTCCTTTGATCCTCAGCTTTAGGATGATTGGGTCAACTTTGTTCATATTGTTAACAGTATGCACATGTAACATAGGTTCAAACTGATGTTCATCATGCTCGTCATTGTCATTTAGGAAGTTCACCTTTTTCCCAGTCCTTCTCTCTGCATCCTTCTTTTTCTTTAAACATGCTCTCTCTATGTGAACTTTCTTCGAACAGTAACGACAAATACTGTTTATATGTTTACAGTTCATGACGCTGTGTTCGCCACCACATCTCCAGCAGTCCTTGTGTGTACGTTGTGCTGGGGCTGGCATCTTCTGTGACTGCGGTTTTGCTGAGAATCGAGATTTTGATTTCTGGCTAGGCCTACCATTAAGATTTACCTTGTGAACTGTTCCAGTGTTTCTTTGCTCTCGAAGCTCTGTCGCGTCTCGTCCTGCGGTCTCCATTGCGTGCGCAATTTTCACTGCAGTATCTAGTGTTAGTGCTGGCTCAGCAAGTAACTTTTTCTGGACAGATTCGCTGTTAATACCACACACAAACCGGTCTCGTATAGTGTCATTGAGAGTCTCTCCAAAATTGCAATGTATGGACAGTTTTCTGAGTTCCGCCACATAAGACAACACACCTTCACTTGACCGTTGTTCTCGTTTGTGGAATCTGAATCGCTCCGCAATAACGGAGGGCTTTGGACACAGATGTCTATTCAAATGTTCAAGAATCTGTTGGTAAGTGAGATTTGCAGGCTTAGTAGGTGCAACAATGTTCTTTAATAGCCCGTACGTTTTAGGTCCTATAACAGCTAAGAATGACGGCACTAATAAATCTTCAGAAACCCCGTTTGCCTTAAAATAGAGGTCGACCCGTTCTGTGTAAACATCCCATGTCTCGAGTGATTCGTCGAATGATCCAATCTTACCGATTGATCTGACCTGTATTATTTGTGCAGCGTTTTCTTCTTCACCCATACTGTATCAATCTGTATGTGTGTCGACTCTAAAGTACCGTCCTCGTCGCCAAAATGTTGTGTTGCAAAAATCACCATTCAACACGTGGGTCAGCCATAACGGAACTACTTTATTCCATATTCATGCGCAGTACATTCTCATATGAAAACTGTTAACGAAAGATACAAAAGATCCGGAATACATCACACTGTACAATATACAGTACGTTTAAATTAAATGATATACTTTTTATTTCAGCATAAATACATTTCAAAATGAGAAATGCAACATGGTTCTGCTTTGACCAAAATGCCAAGTCAAAATTTATATTTTATTTACTAATTCTTAGACCTGATGACTGAGTTCGAGGGCAACAAGCGTTTCGTCGGACCTAAACACGAAACCAGTTTGGTTCGAGAGGTCAACGAAATGCATTTTGCCCCAGAACACAATAAAAAAAAAGTTGTGTTATACCTTTTACTTTGTATTTTGATATATCGTAATGTAAACTTTGTAAAACAGTACTGCAGTTCTGTGGAACTCCAGCGAATGCAAAAAAGATTTAGCTGTCCCCTCCCACCTTGTGACGTATCTTCTCATTGACAGGTCCAACAGCTCACTCTGCGGTCAACGATCAATTTTTTGGCTTATTGAAAATGTTACACTTTTCACGTGTAGTTTAGAATTATATACCCAGTATACATGTAAGTGGACATTTTAACGATACTCTAAAAAAAACCGATCTGTCCTTAAAAAAACAAAATTGGTATTTTATTTTAAGCGAGTATAGTATGTATTAATATTAGCGCTTTTAAAATTCTCACTAAAGACACTTTTACATTTAAAGCGCAATTAATTTTTTAGCGATATTTAATTTTATGCTCTCAACGGCCACGCTATATATGCAAAACTCCTCGCTTAACACTCTGCTTAAACAGTTATTCACAATTGTAAAAGGTCTAACAAAAATCGTTATATGCTCAATAAACACCTTAATTTTAGGGTGAAAATTATATACGGGTTATAACTATGTACCAAAAAAGACATCTTTTACTTTGCCAAATCAGTTATTTAACGGTTGAATGAATTTCCTTCCATTACCGGAAGTAGTCCGAAAAATCTGATGTTTTCCTGGCTTTTTTACGATTTTGATATTTTACATGCCAGGAAAACGTCAGAACCGGCGCCATTACGAAAACTGGAAATTTCGCCGTCTTCAGCTGGAGTTGATTTTCGATACTTGTGAACCGAACTAAATGCCGAAATCAGAATTTATCAAAATCACAATGCCTCTAGTACTCACCAATATTAATGAAAAGAAAATATCGCTCCACATTTCGTAGCAAGACATGCAAGATTTTAAAATGCACGAAAAGAAGAAAAATCTCGACAGTGTGATCAAACCTTTTTCAACGGACTATTGATTCCATAAATGAACCATAAGAACTATATTGGTAAGTTCTTTAAGTATTGTACCATTGGTAACTATTAACTTTGAAATTTAATTCAGTTTGCAAGTATCTAAAATCAACTCGAGAATGCCGCCTCCGGTTGGAGGAAGCGATTCCCCAGTTTACGTAATGGCACCGGTTCTGACTTTTCCTGGCATGTAAAATATCAAAATCGTAAAAAAGCCAGGAAAACGTCAGATTTTTCGGACTATACCGGAAGTTGCTTTTAAGCCCTCTTAAGAGAATTCAAAATTTTGCATTTTTAATAAAATTCTAACAATATTTTGGGTTCTTAAGGTTTTGAAGCTGTTAATCAAAAGTATTGTACTAAAATCCCGGGAAAAAATCCTTCTTTATTTACCGGATGTTATGCCTATATTTTAAATGACTGATAGCAAGAAGGGGGATGTTTTAAGAGTTATGGGTAACCTTCTAAAGTTTAATGATAACATTAAAAATGAATTTATCTTTGTAAAAAGTAAATTTACAAAAAATTAATGCCTCATTTAAAAATTTAATGTATTTTTAGACCTTAGAAAGAAACAAATACCCGGTAACTCTTTAAACATTCCCCCTTCCGACCATTTAATTAGAACGTACTAGTCCGCCATATACAACAAATGCAGCCCGATTTCTACCATGCATTAGGTTTATTTATGTCTTAATCTGAGCGAAATGAATATTCTTGGGCATTTCTAAATGCATGTTTTTCAGATACTGCGGTCGAATTTTCTCTACATGTAACTTGGCGTAGTGTAACAACTCTTGGACTTCCGGTCAAGAAACTGTCATTTATGCTAGTGAAACACATGAGCCTGATGAGTCGTTATAAAGTGTACATTTGCATCTGCAGCTCTTTTATTTTCTTTATTTTGAGAATCTTCAGCATTAGCAATGAAATTCAGTCATTTTGGAGAAATATAGGCATCACATCCGCTGAAACCAGGGCTCGATTCTGGTCTTGAACAAGAGTTGTTTTTTTTTTTGCATTAATTTTTCCCCATTTTTGACTTGAAATAAGAAAAAATTATTTAATGCTATTATACCAGGCTAAAGTAAAAAAAATTAAGTTAAAATATAAGCCGATTATTCGATTCAATAAGAAGATGCAACGAAATGATAAATGAAACGTCTCTGAAATGCATGTGCCATTCAGTCGACTGAATGGTGTCTGAATAATGACGGAAAAGTCACGGGAAAGGTATTTTCAGTGACCTTTAAGTGATCATTCAGTGGGCATTCAGTTACCACTCAGGCGACTGAATGGTGTAATTTCATCCTGTGATCCTTAGTGTAAATTCAAGTTCGTTCAAATCACACCCTCTCCCCAGACCCTTAATGATTGTTTGGGACATTTTGGGGATGAACTTTTTCAATAGCAAACTGATTTCTGCTTTTTTCCTAGAAACATTGCTCAGGTGAGCGATGTGACCCATGGGCCTCTTGATAGTTACAAATGTAAATTATTTTTCAGTAAAGAGAACATTTTATTCCCACGTTAAAGGATTTCCCTTAGTTTTGAAGTTTAACTCTGCATGAAAACTTCATTATTACCGCATAGGCCTAAAAGGTTGTATTCAAACGAGCACAGCAAGCCCATTACACTAAAAAACTAAAAAAAAAGTTTTTATCTGGCGATTTGATATTAATGTGAGAGTGTTTCGTTATTTGACGGTCCAATTTCTTGTAAAATTTCCAAGAGTTTGGAATATTATCCCGATGTATGAGTGAGATTATTTCTTATCGCCCAGTTAAGATTAAAGCTCAAGTGAACTTTTCTGATCATCTGTATTCAGTATATATATATATATATATATATATCTGATTTATCTTAGTATGATAAATCTTTAATTGGTGATAAGAAAATATACGTTTTCTTTTTTTACACCTAGTGCTACCAGCCTCAATAGACGGATTTCGTCTATTCTCTGTTCTCATAAGGAAAACAGGCCTCTGTATGATCGTGTAGACATACGTAGTACATCTACTAATTATTTTTTAAAAATAAATAAATGATAAATAAATAAATAAACCACCGTGTTGCTACAATCATTTTTTTGTGGCCGATCATACATGGAGTTAAATGTCAACATAATATAAAGAGAAAATAAAGATGAGGTGAGAAAAATTGCAAATAGCAACAAAAAGGGGTTGAATTTGTTTAAAAATTGCTGAACATAAACTATTACATTTAATAAAAATGAGATAGGGGGATTAAATAATTATTTGGAAGGCGTGTAAGTGTATCAAGGAAGAAGGGGGGATTTCGTTTTGTTAGATTGTTTTTATTTAGCTTGAAATATAGTATAAAATTGCTGCATATACCGATTAAAAATAAAATATTAGATAATGTTTTAAAATTAGCAATAGTACTTACAAAGATTAAAGCATACTGGAATATAACCTAGGCACTAATTATAATTATTAGCAAACAGATAAGTACATACATTTTTGAATATAACAAATTATTTGTGTGTGCGTATATGTGAACAAAAATCAAAAATGTAATAAAGAAAATGATCAGGAAGGAGTTAAGCCAAATTGAATTTAGAAATTTTGGTTTGTGCTATAGCATAATTATAATTTTAAAAGATGCCAAAAGGCCAAAAGATGTCGGCTAAAATGCCAGTAATTTTGAAAGGGAACTCTCATCAGGTGCTAGTCCCAAACTCCAAGCAGGTTTGTTTCGGTAATGAATTGGCCATTCATTCTAGCACGACAAACCTGTCCTCGCCATTTCCGGTGGATATGTATTTTTCTCTTTTCTAATGTATAAACAAAAAAGTGTGCGTGTAATATATAAGTTTAGTAATATATCTAACACTAATCCTATAATCTTAGCTAAGAAACTTACCTTAATTCTTCTGTTATCTTCTCTGTTGATTTTCATCATGGCGATTTGACAGCGTCTTTCTCTGTTGATATGACGTCATTATTTACAGCATGACGTAACAATCCTCCGAGGATTTACAGAGCCCTTTTAGAGTATTATTTATATAGACATTGTAAAAAACAGGTTGTTTTAAATGAAACAAATTAGAGGGAAATTGGGATAACCTTGAATTTTAATATATTAAAGGGAAAATTGAGATTAATCTTGAATTTTAATATATAATTTTGATAAAAATTGTGTGAAAAAACAAAAGAAAATTTACAAATAAATAAGGCCGTCTAAGAGTAAGTCATAGGTCTGAGTAACTGTCACACCCAGTGAATCACCTTGGAAGTTAGTTCATGTTTGTATTCAGTATATATATATATCTGATTTATCTTAGTATGATAAATCTTTAATTGGTGATAAGAAAATATACATTTTCTTTTTTACACCTAGTGCTACCAGCCTCAATAGACGAATTTCGTCTATTCTCTGTTCTCATAAGGAAAACAGGCCTCTGTATGATCGTGTAGACATACGTAGTGCATCTACTAATTATTTTTTAAAAATAAATAAATGATAAATAAATAAATAACCACCGTGTTGCTACAATCATTTTTTGGTGGCCGATCATACATGGAGTTAAATGTCAACATAATATAAAGAGAAAATAAAGATGAGGTGAGAAAAATTGC